CCCCCCCCCCCCCCCCCCGGTCCTCCTTGTGCCCCCTCGTTCTGCTGCACGTAGGCGTTGTCAGAAACAGGGGAAGACCTGCTGGAGCATCGAGAGCGCGCCGTCTTCAACGCGAGCGTGCTGTCGGGCGACTTTTGTAAGACCGCCGCTACCGCTACCGCTGCTGTCACGGTGACCACGGAGTACCGGCAAGGCGTAGGCGAGAGAAACGCGGCGCATCACGGGCGCACCACCGCCGTCAACCCTGGAAGCGAAGGCGGAGAAGATAGATTCGGCGGCGGCGGGTCTGGTGGTGATCGCGAGTCTACGATATCCTGGGTGGTGGGAAGGAGGCCGGCGGGGGAGGAAGGGTCCCGAGCTGTGCAGTCGGCATCCGCCCACTCTTCCGCCAGAGCCGGTGCTGCTACCCTCCTCGGAGGTGGCGCCGAAACGGGCGTCGGTCTGTTGGATGAGGCGGGCGGGAGGGAGGGATACGGGGGTGACCAACAACAACAAGACGAGGAGGAGGGCGTAGTCCACCCCGCCGTCGAGCTCTGGAACGAGACGTTTGAGAAGGACGAGCTATCGGACGCCGACGGCGGTGGAAGCGACGACGGTGATGCTGAGCGTGAGAGAGCAGACGGGGCGGAGGATGGGGGCGGGGAGGAGGCGCATAAATGGTTCTTTGAGGGTCCACGATCGGAGGGACGCGACGCTCGCGAGGGGGGCGCTGCGGACGGGTGAGAGTGGTGATGATGTAATCGCATCCTGAATTATTTAGTTGGTAGATCATTGAACTCGCATCCCTGACAATGCCCGAACGGAGTGACATGCCGGCTACGTTTCACAAGAATGAACCAGAAGCTGCTTATCATCCTCCGGCGTTTGCTGTGCCAAACCAGATACGGGGGGGGAGGACTCATAGCCGTGCATGCCGTAATACAGTAGTCGTTAGACCATTGTCCTCGCATCCCAACAAAGACGTGACGGAGCACGCCGGGTTCTCACCGGACCAGTCTCTCACATCACCAAGCACGAAGCGCCGTGAGGTGTTTGGCGAGTCAAATGGAGGGTGCGTTGCATCCTGCTAACGGTGTTCGCCATCTTGTGCTTCCTTCCTGGCGTACGGATGGCAGCTGCGAAGTACTAATTTATTTTCTGTTTCTTCCAGGTCCAGAGACAGTTATAAGCACTGTATAACTGCCTCGATGGTGCTTGAATGCTTTAACACAACGCGATGCATCATCCCCCTTTGCCCTGAATGGGGGTTCTCGACCCACAACACAATCTACTCGACCACCATTATGATTAAAAAAAAAAAAAAGAAGACGATAATAAACAAGCGGCAACCTAGTTGCCGAGTTCACGAAGCGATCGGCTTGTTTGACACAGTCGTTGCCAAGCGACGAAAACCCGACCCCGATGGCATCCACCGGGAGTGGGCGAAACCGGATAGGGGGGGGGGGGGATTTGATGGCACGGTAATACCAAATAGGGGCGTGGGAAGAAACGAAAAATTCGGGATAAGGGAGGTTCCGCGTACCGCACGGGATGCAAGTTAACGTGCCATATCATGTTATCCAGGGACAGAAAGCAACACCCACCTTTGCTCATGGATCTCTCGAACGAATGTTGACAGCGCACTTGTCTGCGCGAGCGTAAACCACCGCTGTCCCCCCCCCCTCCGCCCGCGGTATTCCCTACAGACACAGGCGTGGTCCCGCCTACGGTCTCGAATGGGTCGCCCAGGCGCGGGTGCAAGACCTCGTGGGCGAGAGCCGCCGCCTTGGCGCGGACTCCCTCAGGGCACTGATTCACGCGCTGATCGCAGTGGTGCACGGCAGCCTACCAGCTCATGAGCGACGGCGGAGGCGAGGGTTTGAAGGAGGCGCGGGCGGGGGGAGAAGCGTTGGTGGTTGTGGCACAGCAGCACATCGGGAGGGGAGTGGTGGCACGGCGGCGGCGGTGGCGACGGAAGCTGCGGAAAACGGGTTCCACTTTCGACGACGGACGTGAGGCTTTTTTTTTTGTGTTTTTTTAGGGGGGGGGGTGGGGGGGTGCGGGGGATGAAGTATCCGGACGAAGTTTTTGTTGTTGTTGTTGTTTTGACAAGGATCCTGCTTCGCCAACTGGCAATAGCGTTAAGTTCATAAAGAGCATGTGAGCGTCCAGTCCCTCACTCTCTCATACGCAGCCCCGCAACCCGTTCCGTTCAACTTTTTTCAACCGCCCATCTCCTGTGATTTGTATTGCGACAACTTGTCTCGGGCAGCACGCCGCGAGTATCGACGGCATCCTTGGCGTACGCGGAGGTACTGATCGCAGAGATCGCGCTGAGGAATCGGGAGCGGATCGTGCTCGTCCTGCCTGTTCTGCTAGAGCACTACAGGTGGGGGGGAATACAATCATCCCTCGGAAAGGACACCATTTTTAAAGACACTCCCCCGGTTAACGACAACGTTGTTTTCACAGGCATGGTGGCTCGCAGAATGTACAAGATAAGGAGGGGTATCAACCTCAAGGACACTTCCCCGCCTCAAGGGATACCTTTTTAAACGAAAAACCATGCGTGTACTTATCCGAGAGACGACTGTACGAAGAAGCATTGGTTTGTCGTCGTTATGTGTGTTGGTGCTGATCTTGCGCTGCTTCTCTTGTCCTTGACGGAAGATAAACCACGGGTCGCTCGCTCTCTACAACCTTCACGGAAGTGTTTTTTCTTTGTCGGTGGTTGAGCATTTATTCTTACAATAGTTGGTTGCTTTTTCTCAGTCGGTAGTTGAGTCCCCTCCACGGCGGCGGCGATCGCCGTGACGTTTGTCAGCCATTTGTTTTTACAGTCATAAGGCGGCGTTGGTCCTTGTTATTTATAGCACTATTGTAAGCGGTAGAACATGATTCTCCGTTCCCCCTGCTAAACCACGTTGTTTCCTGGGCCCTCCATGATTTATGTATATCCATCAGTAGCCTGACGGCGTGAGACATACCGTACATCGCCGCGTTCGCTGGGTTGTATTTTGTCAGCAGTATACCATGCTTCTCACCCCCCCCCCCCCCCCCCCCTAAAAACGGGTTTTTGCCCGGCGCCCGGGATGGGGGGACAAATCTGGGGCCCCCGGGGCTATAAACCTCCCCCCCGGGTCCCCGGCAATGGGGCATATCATGGCCACCCCCCCTCCCCTTTTTCCCCGAACCAACTATTTCGGGGTTTTTTTGCTTTTCTCCCCCCCAGCGCCCGCTGGGGGGGGC